GAGGACCGAACTCACTACTAAGTCGTAATTGTTCTAGCGAGACGATCTTGTTAACCATTAAATCCCCTTGAAGTACCTATGATTTTCCAAGCGTTGCTTAGATGTGGCACAAGGCCGAATGTATGGGGCGCCCAATGAATATCGAACTCACTATTCAGTTGATATTGTTCTAGATCGAAACAATCTTGCTAATCATTACACCACCTCGAGGTGCCCATAGTTATTTTTCCAAGCGTAGCTTAGATGTGGCACAAGGCCAAAAGTATGGGGTACCCTTTGAGGATCGAACTCACTACTAAGTCGTTATTGTTCTAGCGAGACTAGCTTGCTAACCATTACACCCCCTCGAGGTGCACACGATTTTCCAAACATAGCTCAGATGTGGAACAAGGCCGACCGTATGGGGCACCCAGTGAGGATCGAACATACTATTCATTTGATATTGTTCGAGATCGAGACAAGCTTGCTAACCATTACCCCGCCTCGAGGTGCCCAACCCATGGCCTTAAATCGGGTGAAAATTAAGTTGTTTTGGTGTAAGACAAAATGATGACCTAACAAAGTTTCTCTACCGTGATTTTTACGCTTTCTTTCAAAATATTATTATATACTTCGTTCTTCACGATCCCACCCACCTTCACATGATCCCAAGATCCGGAATCACTGAAGTATACTCCTTCCACTGTGTTTTACTATTCTTCCCATATCTTTGACATCATACAACTTTGTTTTATTTACTTCAAATAGTCTACAGTCACTTTCTCATAGACGCGCCGTCGCCTCCCTCTGTCTGTTCTACAAATACTTTCATGGAAATTGCTCCGAGGAGCTGCATTCGCTGCTTCCCAGACGTCATGAATTCCAGCGCTACGAGGCTGGCATCCCGCTCTCACCCCTTCACTGTCGAAACACCTAAATGTAGCCGTCTCTTCTACTCTAATAGCTTCATGTCTCGCACCTCTCGCCTGTGGAACTCACTTCCTTTCTCCTGTTTCCCTGCGAGCTATAATCTCCAGCTATTCAAGTGTAATGTCAATCGACATCTCCAGTTGCCTTGATCTATCCACTACCCTCATCCTTTCTTCTATCACTCCTATCTGATCTTGCTATTTCCTGTAACCCCTTGCATCCTAGTGGCTTTCCGCCTTGCTTGGGGTGAAACGCTTAAAAAAAAAAAAATACAGGCGCCCCAGATAATACCTGTCCCCTACGGTCATACTCTAATTTTACAAGAGCTAGATCAGACCAAAAATAGAGTATTACTGCTATGTCTTGGATAGACCTGCCCGATCTTCACATTCTAGATTTCGAAAACATAGTTCATCAGTGATTCCTATTCATTGTTATCTCTAAATTGCCATGCCTCCTTGGTGATGGGTGATAGTTTTGTCGCTTTCTGTCGCGTAATCTACGGTTTTCAATTCATATATTTTTCCTAGACCTGCTCCCACCTGCGGCTAAAGTTAAGTGTACCCTTCTATTTAAGCCCCAAATTAGATTGACAAAATGAATCTACGCCTTATTCAAGGGGTTTATGTGAAAGTTAATTCAACAGACTTCGAACTCTGCTTTTTGATTCCACTTTCCTTTGCCCGCACACCAGTCTATATAATTAGCATTAGCAGGTTAATAATTGAATTTCCATAATTATTAATTAATATATATAGTGTGGGGGAAAGCAAATATTCGTACACATACAAATTTTAAATGATTGTATTTCCAACTAATGAATAAACATACTTTTATTATAACTAACTATACACGGATACATAATAACTAAATATGCATAGAAAACAGAACAAAATTGATTTAATAGAAATAAATCCCATTTATCCATTTTAGTGGCTGGAAAAAAGTATTCGTACAATACAAAAAAGAATACAAGAATCTTTATTTAATACTTTGTAGAGAAATATTATTCACTTCTACAACAAACAAACTCTTCTTTTGGTTTCTAAATAATTATTTGCACATTTTAGTTGGTAATTTGTTCCATTCTTCATCACATATGGTCTTCAGATCCGGGATAATTGTTGGAGCTCTCGAGTGGATTTGAATTTTCAAATAACGCCACAAATTCTCGATTGGGCTTAAGTCTGGGGACTGACTTGGCCATTTCAGGATATTCATATAACAAGCCATTTCTTCGTAGATTTTACAATGTGATTAGGATTATTGTCTTGTTAAAAGATCCAATTAAGAAGTTCAAGATTTTCAGCCGAAATCATTAAATTTGCTTCCAACATATTTTGATATACTATGGCATTCATTCTACCATCTATTAGTGATATGTTGCCAGTACCTTTTGCAGAAAAAAAAAATCTCCAAACCATGATGCTGCCCCCACCAAATTTCCCTGTTGGAATTGTGTTCTTTTGTTTGAAGACATCGCCATCTTCCTTCCATACCTGATTTCTAGAATTACGTCCAAAAAAAAAAATCAGTTTTGGTTTCGTCTGTCCATAATACTCTTTCCCAATACAATTTTCCTTGATTCGTATTTTCACGAGAGAATTTCAACGTGGCATCCCTGTGTCTTTTCAATAGAAGTGGAGTTTTCCGAAGGGAGCGTGACTTTAGATTGTTCCTATGAATTTCATTGCTTATTGTCCGTTTAGTGTTACAGATTCTTAAGGAAAGCAAGTCAACCTGCAATTCTTGACGAGTAACCATTGGATGTTTTTTAATATGACGCATTAATTTGCCCGAAAATATTGAAGAAATCTTCCGCGGAGCACCTGAATGAACGAGTGGTAGTAAACGGAATATTCGGGTTGTTTAAGATTATCTTCTAATTTTAACCTTCTTTCTAGACAATGAATATACATTGTAGAGAACAATATGGGTATTTACGTGCTGTTGTATTAGAAACACATGTATAACTCCTGATAGAATATTAAGAGGTCTAACTGCAAGAAAATTGTCGGACTCAAATCAAGTCTAACTGAAGATAAATAAGACAAACAAACAAGACCGATATATATATATATATATATATATATATATATATATATATATATATATATATATATAAACAGATATATGTATTAAACAAAACAATTTTACAGTGGACACAGACAATAACATTAGCGTGTGTGTGAACATTTGTGACTGTCCTTTGGTGAATGTTCGTATTTTGGTGAATGTTCGTACGTACTACGTACGTGTATTTTTGCATAATGTTCACGGCGTTTTCCCCAAATGGGAAGACGCAGATTTTCTAAGAGAGCTTACATTGTAGTCGCTGAAATGAAGAAATGAAAAACAGGATTTATCTCACCTCCACGCGAGGTGGGATGTGGCACGAGGCCTGAAGGGAAAAAGAGGACGAAGCGAGAATTCGCCCAGTATTTATAGTATAGGTTGAGTGACCACCTAGTGACAATTTGGGAATTAAGGAGGTGCTAACTTCGATAACGTAATATGCAACGTTGACAACACGACTCGGAGTTTTATGTGATTAAGCAATTTCAATCATTAATTTATTCAGCAACTGAAGATTGCAGATTTGCATGAAACTCGGAGACGTGTTATCGACGTTGGATATTATGCATAATCACTAATATATATATATATATACACACACACACACATATATGCACATGAAGATGTCCTTAAAAAGCTTGTAGTATTGAAACAAATTAAATGAAATAGATAAAAATAAACATATAATCAAAGAAAACAAGTAAATGAAGCCGGTTATACAACATGTTTAAAATATATATTTAGAAATAAAACTTAAATTTAAAATTCTCAAGGGAGAATTTTAACTTATATCGTTTACTATTCACGTCGACATGTATTATCTATCCAGTGGGGGTCGTTCCCCCTTACTGTGGAGAGATTTCAGATACGAAAGGAGCCACGTCTACATCGCTTGATGTGTAAAAACGAACTTGCTGAAAAACATTTCTCTATCATTCTCACGCTAACTCAGCCAATCAAAATCGAATTCTTATTATGGTTTGTATCTGATCCCATGGTCAACCTCATTAAGTCAGAGTAAAGATACACTTCCTCTAAAAAATAACAATTTGCTAATTCGAATATTCAAGTTTTAAAGAAAACTTGATAAATTTGCTGTGAATTCGTAGTATGCGAGCTATACTCAATGACCTCTCACCTTTGACTGAGTAACCTGAAAGGAGAGTATCTGTTCAAGCATAAGCAGTACGATTCCATCTAGTCGGTTGCAAATTCACATAAAGGGCAGTGAACCGAATCACGAGATGTTAAACCTGTCTAAATTTAAAAAAAAAACCATTTCACCCCAAACAAGGCGATAATGCCACTTAGACATAACGGAAAGTGAAAGAAAACAAGAAGACTTTAGGAGAATGAGCAGGAAATGAAATCCTAAACAGAAAAATTGTGATAAAACTCTACTCCTGTTCAAAAGATAGAGAAGAAGTGTGAACAGGTCGATAGGCGAACATTGATTACATTTCAAGCAGAACTCCAACGTAAACACTATCCAGTGAGGATCTAGTATTCGGCTTTAGTAATCGCCCCCCCGCCCCCCAAAAAACTGCTTTCTCGTATCCAATCGAAGCGTACAAAGAAGTAAATTTTACTGAGTAAATGTTTTATGTGTACTACAGCCAGTGAGGCCCGAACTGATGACATTGTATTAATGAGTGAGTCGTGAAGCTCGGCTAGGTGGTCTTTCTCTTAGTATGACACAAGATCACACTTACAGTATTGATGGCTTATATGTTTAGCTTGTTATTCACAACCTCACGGAAAGATATCTTTAATAACTCAGCTAGATACATCGATCAGTAGAGAGATAGATAAATACATAGATAGATACAAATTGATTTATAAATAAATAAATATATAAACAGGCAGAGACATATATATATATATATATATATATATATATATATATATATATATGGAGAGAGAAAAGAAAGAAATTAACAGGCCAAGACAGATTGATCGATCGATCGATCGATAGATAGATAGATAGATAGATAGATAGATAGATACGAGTTGATTTAGAAAGAAATATCTGACCGAGATAGATAGATAGATAGATAGATAGATAGATAGATAGATACGAGTTGATTTAGAAAGAAATATCTGACCGAGATAGATAGATAGATAGATAGATAGATAGATAGATAGATACGAGTTGATTTAGAAAGAAATATCTGACCGAGATAGATAGATAGATAGATAGATAGATAGATAGATAGATAGATAGATACGAGTTGATTTAGAAAGAAATATCTGACCGAGATAGATAGATAGATAGATAGATAGATAGATAGATAGATACGAGTTGATTTAGAAAGAAATATCTGACCGAGATAGATAGATAGATAGATAGATAGATAGATACATACATACATACATACATACATACGAGTTGATATAGAAAGATCGGGCCGATATAGATAGATAGATAGATACATACATACATACATACATACATACGAATTGCTTCAGAAAGAAAGGAAAACAGACAGACAGAAAGGGAGGATAGAAGGAAAGTGGGGGGGGATCTAATCTTTTATGTTCTATTTTTTTTTTTTATTCATTTATTTCGGATGTTCGGGTAGTGGAACGGCTATCGGTGCAGAAAGTAAAATCCCAGAGCCACGTTCATATCACGCTCGATTCGCTATTTTTCTCTTTCAACATGCATGCACTTCACCCCTAAATAATTAAATAATCTAGTCATCCTTATATGTTCCAGTATAGGTTAATTATATAGGAAACCAAACAATATAAGTTCCATCCGTGATTCTCTGTTAATTGGAGACTCAGAATGAAAAAAATCAAAAAGCAATTCAGTAATGTATAATTCGTTTTCTCCGGCTAACCAACCCTTTGAATGTTAAGGCAAAGTAATATTTGTAGATTTTAAGATTATTTTTTTGAGGTAACAACGATTTAGTGATGCATATCTAACTACTTAACACACATCAGTAGGGAGAAGAGGAGGATTCATATTTTTCCCAAGTCTATTTACGCCCAAATGAATATAATGAACCCAACTGGAATTGGAACTCAACTCTCCGAGGCCTTTACACCACCAGCACATCCATGCTTAGCAGAAAGAAATGGCAACCTAATGCGGGAAAAAATCTGCCTCGTCAGAAAGATACATGATCGCCTAAGTGTATATCACCCATGGCACATAACTGACTGACATCCTCATTTACAGTATCTGGTATTCTCAAGTAGTCACCAATCTAGACACTGACCGGGCTCGATGTTGCTTAACTTCGGTTATCGTATGGAAACTGGCGTTTTAAAATGATTTGGCGGGTAGGTTCTTTGGTAATGTAGTAAAACTAAACGAAAAAGAAGGACTATTAACAGTAATAATACAAATGGCTGTTGTCAAAAGTGTAAGACCAAGGATTTTTTTTTCCGAGCCGTCAAATCATGAGTCACGTAAGCCGTTTATATTGAAGCTACACTCTCTACCGCAGCAGTAACTATGGAGTGTCTCGGGCAAGATAATTTGACAGGGCCCATCCCCCTTCAAGCTAGTTTTGAATTCAGAGTTGTCCATCTCTTAGACTGTTTTACCCTATTAATGCTTCAGTAGTGGCATTAAGAGAAAGAGTAGAAGTCGAAGACACCGTGGAGTAATGGAAAAGGTATTAATCCTCTTCTTTTCCAGCTATGGGTAAATAGCAGGACAGACCGGGTTCTGTAACCATGGATGGCAACTGGCCTACCGTAGAAAGAAATATCAACCTACTGCGGGAAAAAATCTGCCTCGTCAGTTACGTATCGAAAGATAAATGATCACCTAAGCGTGTATCACGCATGACGCATAACTGACTGACTGATTCGTATTCTAAAATACTATTTTATTTCATGTAAACTTAATTCAACATTGTAAAAGTCCAGTGATTATAAGGTGCATAGCCAAATGTCTAAGTCACTACGTTAGTAATGGTAAACTAATCTACCTTATTAAGCATTGCTCACCGACAAGGCGTCTATGTTGTACTACAGTCGCATAGTTAACTATTTTTAAAATAGTTTGTGTCTGTTGAAAATTTTAAAATATTTAGAAATAAATCAATGTTTTCCTCGGAGGTTTTGCTATCGTTATCGATATATTTCTGTCTCATTTCTTCCTTCTTTTTTTCTTTATTTTCATCCGTTTCCACCTCATCCAGCATCCTACCCTAGCCATAAAAAAAAACATCTCCACCAAGTGTAAGCCAAGAGGAATTTTTTTTTGTATTGCATCGAGCGAATTGTTAACATCATGTCATAGAACATTCAAGGCGCCTTCAGAAGTGACGTAAAAAAAAAAAAACGACAAAAATAAATAAATAAATAAATAAAAAATAAATAAAAAAAACACGAAGAGACATTAATAAATCGAAGAGAAATGTGTAAATTTTTCGGCGTTGTCTTTGATGTGAACAAGAGGCAAGCAGATGATTTTTAGATCATCTGTACGCCATTGTAGTTGCAGTAGTTAATCCATCCTCACAAGAGCAGGTGACTGAAAGGGTCGATCGCACAGAAGATGGGACGAGGCGGAGAAAAGGCAGTATCGTAAGAGGGGGCGGAGAGATAGTTTCCTAGAGAAGATGTGGGAAACGGAGAAGAGGAGATAGGATGAAATAAAGTCAGGGTGGGGAGTATCGAAAACTGAAGGAAGAAAGAGTATGAGTGGAAGGCGTTACAGAAAGAGTCAAGGGTAGACAGAAAACGTAAGCGAGAAGGAAAAGTGAACAGGTGAGAAGTTAGAGTGAGAAGGTATGAAGAAGAAATATAGAAAGGAGTAGAGAGAGAAGAGAAGCGACAAGATGGAGTGAAAAGAAGCAGAAAGGAACATTGAAGAAAGAAAAGAAAAAGGGAAGGAATGAGAACGATGATGAAGGGAAAAAAGAAAAAAAGAAGAAGAAATCGAAATAAAATGAGAAATAGAGGAAGATCAAGAAAAGAAAGGAAAGTGTGAAAAATAGCAAAATGCAATAAAGAAAAGAAAGAAAAAAGAAAATGAAAAAAAAATGCTGAAGAAAGATATATGAATTTAAAAAAAAAAGGATTGAGGTAGGTACAAAATGAAGAAGTGGAAAGAATGAAAGAAAATAGGGTAGATGAAAAGAATGAAAATGTAACTAAGAAAGAAAAGACGGGGGTGAGAAAGACAAAAAAAAGGTGAAAGAGAAAAGAAACTAAAAAGAGAACAAAGAGACAAAAAAGAGAGTAAGAAGAAGAAAGGAAAAGAGAAAGAGAAAACGAAAGTCAATATAATAAAAACGTAATGAAAGAAAAGAATAGAAAGAAAGAAAATAGAAATGGGAAAAAGAAAGAAGTGTAAAAGGATGAAGAAAGAAAATATGGAAGGAAAAAAGGAGGAAAAAGATAAAGAAAGAAAAATAGGAAAAGAAAAGGAAAATAGAAAGAATAAAGGTAAAAAAAAAAGAGAGTAAGAAGAAAGAAATAGGAACTGATGAACGAAGAAAGTGTAAAAGATTCAAGAAAGAAAAAAAAACAGAAAGAAATAAAGGAGAGTTGAAAGAAAGACAAGGAAGAGGAGAAAAGTAAAAGAGAAGAAAAACATGGATATAACAGAGAGTAGGGAGAAAGAAAATGAGAATGAAATGAAGAAAGAAAGGTAAAAGATTCAAGGAAGAAAAGACATGTGGAATAAATGGAGGAAGAGAGGTGAAAAGGAAAAGAGAAATAATGAAGAGAAAAGAAAGAGAACAAAAAGAAAGAAAAACACGAAGTGAAGAAAAGAGGAGGAGGGATAAAAAACATAGAGGAAGAAAAAAATGAAGAAATAAGGGAAAAGAGAACGAGAAAATGAACAGAAAGAAAAAAAAAAGTACTAGAGTAAGAATGAATTTAGGAAGAACGAAAAAAAGCATTCTGATCGAAATAAAGAAATGCGGCGAAGGAAGAAAATACGAAAAGAAGAAATTGAAAAAAAAAACGATAGGAATAGAGAAAGAGTAAATGAAATAGAGTGGGAAAAAAAGAGAAAAAAATAGGAAAGGAAAAAGCAAGTAAAAAATGAGAGTGAAAGAACAGAAGGAAATAAATGAGGTGAGGTTTCTCCAAGGAAAACATTAAAAAAACGAGAGTAAATAGTTCTTCGATGTAACTACGTGCTGCATCTCTTCAGGATGTTGATGATCATGGCTCTTCACAACTTCCAGTCCTTTGTAGCTCTTAGCAATATATTTTTTATTTTCGTTATCAGTCCTAACCCCTGTTCCGTCAACCATTTTCAGAAATTCTTTAAGAAGGTTACGCACTACTTTCCTCTGTTCTCTAACTTATACCCTCAAACCCGGTGAGTATCAAAATTTCCTAACCTTTTCTCATTATATACCCTAGATATTTCAAATTTCTCTTCCTGATTCTAGTTATAATGTTCTGTTTTCCCCATCGTCTTTGCTCACACGTTCAATCCATTGTATTCTCAGGATTCTTCTTTAGGATCACATTTCAAGTCTCTTCATTATCCGTGTCCAAAATTCAGTACCATGCAGGATGACCGGTATTATGTAACAGACCAGTACTCTTTTCTTTATTTCTAAAGAAATTTTCTCTCTTAATAGACTGCTTAGCTTTTGAAGGACATGTTTCTCTATTCCAATGAGGTTTCGGATTTCAGGGTCGTATTTTCTGCCCTTTTCTAACCCTAGAACACTAACCATCAATTATACACCACTACTTACCATGGGTATATCATACCCGATTTTGAAAATATCAAAAAAAGAATATTAAATATAAATCTTTATTTGAAATATTTTACATGCAGACACTTCAAACTTTTACCATTAATAGGAACTGAAAAACATATTATTTAGGTAAGAAAATCAGGTACTGAAAATTGTAATTAAAAATAGGAAAATTTGCGCTGGGTATATTATACCCATGGTTAGTGTTCTGAGGTTTAAAAAAACCCCAAAAAAAACAGATAATTTTGTACTTGCTTGATTTTTGTGTCACCAAAATATGGTTCGTATATTGGCTTGTTCCTTTTTGCTGATGACCATACATTTTATTTTCTTAAAATTGATGCTTAGTCCTTTCTTCTCAATTACTACCTTCTGTAGGAGAGCCTGTAGTTTACTTTCCATGTCTGCTATCAACAAAAGAGTTTATCATAATAGTGAGAATAATACTAGCTTCAATCACTCTGATTTTCACATTTGTACTTTTTTATATTTTGCTAATGTAGTCCCTTAAACCAAGTCTGAATTCAGGTTGTATTTGAAATGATTTTGTACTAACAAAGCTTAATGAGTAGAGCGTTTGAGGTGATATTTCTGATCATTTGCCTGCTACATCACTTCACTGCTCTGTAATCAACCTGAAGTGTAACTGTTGATGTTCATTCTTGTTTTTATACTTGTTGCTTTGGATTTTTTTTTTTCATTCATTCATACATCTTAATCCTCACCAACATCACCAAAAGAAAAACAAATGTTGTGAACAGGAGCCAATATTGGTTATATAACATTTTAGTTTTCCAGATAGTTGCAAAATACTCAACAGGTTGAATTTCTTGAATAGGATTCTTTTTTTTTTCCACTTGGCATTATCTTGAAAGCTACACTTTTTTTTTAATACAGCAAATACAATTACTACCATTTCGCTTACATTAAGACAGAACTTTTAAAAATAGATCAAGTGCTTACTATGACTAATGACAATAAAATACAATTACTATCACACATGCAACAACTACAAATCTAAACAGTGTTCCATGGGAAAGTTACTTTTTAGGACAATAGATTCCTAACAATTCTGATTCTATGAGTGCCTTATGTGTGAGAGATAAGTTAAATCTAAAATCTAGATAATATTCCATAATTGTGTTTTCACATAAATATGACGACTGCTAAATTTTCTTTGCAAAAATATTCTTAACCCAAAACTTTTCAAAAAGTTTCCAATTGAAAATGTTCAATATCTATAACCAAAAGTCCATTGTTTTCAGCAAGTCTTTATCGGGTTTAACCTTTAAGGGAAAAATCTGTTATAATCAATTTCTTGAGTAGGCTTCTTTTTTAAAGATTTTATTTTGCAACAAGTATTTATAAACTGAAGTAAAAATAACTACATAAAAACAAAATCAGTAACAACATTAACATTTACTCGCTTTTATTTATTAGGCATTAATTTACATCATTTAGCATCCTCCATAGTTCACCTTGACTTTCAATTAGCCTGAAGAATATTTATGAGCATTCTTAAACTTAGAAAATTTTGACAACCTAACAATATTTTTACTTTCGTTTATAAATACTAGTTGTAAAATGAAATCCTTACATTTGCCTTAATAAAGTCCATCAGAGAACGAAACGTGTTGGTGAAGAAAAGTTTTCCTTTTGTCATTTTACAGATATATTTTTTATTTATAATTGAATTTGTATACTCAAACAGGTTTTTTTTTATTTTTCTTTCATAATTAAGACTCTGAACTCATAAACTGTAGAATAACAGCTTTCTTTTTCTATTTAGTGTCAGTTCAATAATGCTTATTACCACTGGAAGTTTGCGAGTCAATTTTTATGAAGACTACATTGAATTTTCCATTAGTCATGTTCTGAAGAAATTGTTTATATAGTAAACAAATGGTTATGAGCATCGAAAACAGAATCAATGAAGAAAGTTCAGATTTCAGCTGAAGCCATTTGTGCTCACTTCACACTTGTGCTCTTTGGAAATACACAAATCCATTGCACTCTTATCACCAGATACATCTTCTAACATACCACAGTCAGTGACACTTGGACAAACCACTCTTATCATAACTATTTTACCTGTGTAAGCAGGAACAACTAAAAAGCTCAATCCAAAAGTTAATCTTTACAGAATCCTTCTATGTGCCATGTCCCTTCATGATGTAGACAATCATGGTTCTCCATAACTTGCTGTCCTTTGTAGCTCTTAGTAATGTTTGTCTTTTTGCCAACTCTTTTAATCTCCAACCATTTACACAAGTTTGTTTGGTAGGTTATTTGCAACTTTCCTTTGTCCTTCTTATCTTCAACACATCTTGTGAGTGTTCGATTTTCCAAACCCTATTTCCTAGAAATTTTAGTTGTCTCTTTCTAAGTATAAATGTCCTTTTTGTTTCCATTTTCTTTAAAAGTTTATCGTCGTTCACATGTCAGTGGTATTCTCAGCACCCCTCTGTAGAACCACATTTCTCCCAGATAGGAGAACTGATATTACATAATAGTCCAGTATTCTTTTCTTTGTTTCTAATGAAATTTACTTAATACTTTGCTTAACATTAGGAAGGTATTTTTTGCTATTCTGGTACACCTTTGGATTTCGGTGTAATCACATTTTCTGTCATCTATTAAAACATTTTCTTCAATAGTTAAATTTTTGTACTTGCTTGAATTTTGTAGTTCACATTTTGTTCCTTTTTGCTGATGACCATACATTCTATTTTCTTGAAATTCACGCTTAGTCCTTTCTTCTTGCTGTCCTTTACTACTTTCTATAGGAGTGTCTGTAGTTTACTGTCCGTGTCTGCTTTTCACGCTCTACCATTAAGGATAAGAATGTGTGAAAAGTCTAAAGAAAGACAAAGAAGATGAAACAAACAGAAGATAAAACCAAAGAAAAATTGATGGGTAGAGATAAAAAAAAGAAAGAAATTAGTAAGAGAGGTAAAGTAGCAATCGAAAAATATGTATGCTGGAAATCAGAAGGAAGGAAAAAAAGAAAGAAAGTGAATACAATGAAAGAGGAGGATCAGCTGCAGAAAGAGAGAAACAATAGTGAGAGAATAGTGAACAATGATAAGAAGGGGGAAGGAAAAAGTATATCAAGGAAGAAACAAGTAGGGAGAGAAAGAAGAAAAGAAAAGAATATGATGAGGACAGAAATTACAGAAGATAGAAAGAAAGGAAAAAAGAGAAAAGAAACTAACGAATAAAACAAAAGAGAGAGGGATGAAAGAAGAAAAGAAAGAAGTTGGTACTGTTAAAAATGGTGAGGCGAAGAAAAAAGAAAAGAAGACAGGAAGAAAAAGAAGAAGATGAAGAACAAGAAGGAAGGAAAAAAAAGATAGAAGATTAGTAGAAATAATGTAAAGAAGAGAAAGTAGATAGAAAGGAAAAAAAAAAAAAAAGAGTTCAAGAAAGAGAGTTAAATGATCCAAGAAAGCCGGAAAATGAAATATAAAGAAAAAAATAGAAAGTCTATAGAAAAGAAAAAAAGAAATGAAAAGCGAAGTAAATTAAAGAAAGAGAAAAAGAAGGTAGGAACAATGATAAAAGGAAAAAGAGTTACAAAGGGGAAGATTAAACAAAATGATTATTTGATTTGATATCATCTCCGGCTCTGAGATGTGCCTCGGCCGGGGTGGGGACGGTCGTATCTTAGGAACACAAAACTTTCCTCAGCACATGAGCTGTTCTAAACACCGCGGCCATGTTAGCACTCCCAACATTGTCATGTATCCACAAAAGCATATTGCAAGACAACAGAATTCATGGCAGTAGTCTTGTGTTCGCATACCTCAAAAGGGTCAGTTGAGTTACTGCTAACCACATTTCATCGATTTGCTCAGTCTAGTCCTTCCTACCACTGTAGATTGACCTCCTCCGCCTCTGCAATGTTTTTTTGCCCGAAGGTACCACAACATCTATTAGGTTTGGTTTAGTTTGTTTTGTTTTACGACATATCAACACTTCAATGGGTCATTTAATGCCGACAACTTTTTTTTCCCCTGGTAATATTTTTGTTTTGTCAAAAATCCATTTCTGTTAATATTTTTTCTAAAAAATGTATAGCTGGTAATATTATTTTTTCAAAAACGTATAGCCGGTAATATTATTTTTTCAAAAACTTACAGCTGGCAACATTATTTTTTCAAAAACGTATTATTAGAGGCCCGGACGTAGTTTATCGTCATACCCAGAACGCGGATGTAGTTTATCGTCATACCCAGGACGTGGATGTAGTTTATCGTCATACCCCATCTATTAGGATACATTCCTGGCTGCTCTTGTACACAATATGATATCTGGTCGATTGTTCGCAAAGCGCTTTTCAGTCATCATGATTGTACGCATATCAAATTCAATTACTAATTAACGTCTACTACTACAACTACAACAATTATTAGCAGTAGTATTAGTAGTATTGTTTGTTTGTTATGTTTCCTGCTTTGTATCCTGTAGATCTGGGTCTAAACTATGTTCCTTAGCCTCTATAGAAGAATTGTCATTTAATTATTAGAATTTTTCTTAGTATATGGGATCTTCCTAGTAGGGCGATTTCCTGGGCAACTTTTATGTTGATGTCACCTGGGACATTGTTAGTAAAATTGTCCATTCCTTTTCTCACGAGACCCAGAGTTCCGATTACTATTAATACAGTCTCAGTCTTCATTCTCCACATCCTGTTAATCTCGATCTCCAGGTCCTTGTATTTGGACAATTTCTTGATAATATTCATGGAGGTGTTTCGCTCAAAAGGTAATGCTATGTCAATAAGCATACACTTCCTGAATTTCATGTCTTTCATGATAATATCAGGTCTGTTGACTCTTATTCCTCTATCAGTTTGAGGCACGGTGGGGTAATGGATAGCAGCTCGGATCGAGGAATCGAAGAGCTGAGTTCGAATTGCAGTTGAATCCATTACATTCACTTACATGCTAATACCCTTGGGAATAGTATGAATCCTCTTCTCCCCCAGCTATGGGTAAATAGTAGAACAGACCAGGCTCTATAGCCTTGGATGGCAACTGGTCTAACGCAGAAAGAAATGGCAACCTACTGCGGGAAAAAATCTGCCTCGTCATTCATGTATCAAAAGATACATGATCGCCTACGTGTGTATCACGTATGACATATAAATGACTGATCAATTTGAATTGACATGAGTTAGTAATTTTGTCTTGTTGGTGCGCATACCATCTCTCAGTGGTTTCGATTTTGTGCTTCTTGCATATCTTTCAGTGCACATATGTCGCTACCTTGTTATGTCTGTTGGTATATTTATTTTTTTGCTACTTCCGGACATCCTGAGATAATAATGTCGACAGTTTCTATATATTTTCCGCAGATCCTCCATTTCGGGTTAGTTCCATCCTTGATTAAGTGACAGTGATAGGATCTGGTTGCGAGGTCCTGAGCTGCAACAATTAGGCCTTGTGTCTCAGTTTTCAACCCGGTGCTCCTCAGCCACTGATCTATTTTCTGTCGGTTCACATCTGCTTGACTTCGTTTTTTTTATGTATTTGCCATGCCTTGTTGTTCTCCCAGTTTTTCTTGTAATTTCATTCTACCAAGTTGTTTTGCTTTCTGTTTCACTCGTTTGGTTCAGATGGTTTTCGATTCTTTTTTTTTTGTTGGTAGGATATAAGGTATATTTAGCTATTATTATTATTATTATTATTATTATTATTATTATTATTTCCTTTGATTTCTGTTGTCAACACATTTTCTTCTGGGTCCTAAACACAGACCTAACTTCAGAACTGGAATCATGACATTTCCACTGAACGTTTTTTAAAATAAATACAAATAAAACAGTCCAAGAACAGGGACATGTTGCATTGATAAACCCTTTCGTAAGGTGTGAGTTGTACTTGTGAGAACAATTCTTTGTATTTCTCTCTGGAACGGAATACCAAGAATATATTCAGTGAGTCTGTCAGAAACTTTTGCCAATGAAACTGAGATCTCGAACCATAGTTGGAATTAAAGATGTCTTCAGGTTTTTTTTAGATATCCACTTCAAGATTTTCAAACCTATATTACAGTCTATAGGAGCTACCATGTCAATAAGAAATCACATTCTGAATTTGTGGTCTTTGATAATTATGACCAGGCGATTACCTTTGATTCTTCTTCTTCTTCTTCTTCTTCTTCTTATTATTATTATTATTATTATTATTATTATTATTATTATTATTTCCATTGATTTCTGGTGTGTACACATTTCTTTCTGGATCCCGCCCAGAGACCTAAGGTTAAAAATGACGTCATGACATTTTCTATTGAAAAAAAAAAAAAAAAAAACAAAACAAAAAAAAACTTATTTACATATCCCATAAAGCCCTTCGCAAGGTGTGGGCTGTTTTCGTGAGAATAATAATAATAATAATAATAATAATAATAATAATAATAATTAGTAGTAGTAGTAGTAATAGTAGTAGTTGCAGTAGTAATATTCTATACCGATCATTCCTGTTTTTCTTTTTTCTTCTTCTTCTTCTTCTTCTTCTTCTTCTTCTTCTTCTTATTGTTTGTAGTAATTGTGTTCTGCAGACATTTTTCTTTCTTTTCGTCTTCTTCCTTGACGTCTCAATATTATTCATACTTTATTAAGAGCTAAAAAGTAGGAAATTGTGGAGAGCCATGATCACTCAGTTCCTAAAGGGATACGGCAAATAGAAGAAGCAAAAGTTAAATAATTAGTCGTAGTAATATTCTACACCCATCTTTCTTTTTTCTTCTTTTTTTCTTCTTTTTTCTTTTTCATCATGTTATTATTATTATTATTACAAATTTACCTTCGCTGTCTAAAAATGACGGCGAATTTTAAGACTGATATTTCCTTATTAGGCTGCACATGTAAAAATTCTATCCATTTATTAGAGGGCCTATATTATTATCCAGTAATTTTTAGTTTTTCTGTTATAATCCTTTACAAAATTGAAGCTTGAAGTAAAGACAATTATTTCTTAAAAAGTTATTGATCTTATTACATTGTTATTTTTTCTGCATATGTACCCACGAGTACAATCATTCAAATAGCAAATAGTGATGTCATGTCTATGAAATAGCCAGTAGTTTTGCTTTTAAAATCCTTTATGATTTTATCTTACATATTGGCTTGTATATCGCGGTGCTATTGCATGACATCGAAGCATTTTCAAATTCTAACAGTGGTGGAGCTTTGGGGTAAAACAATTTTTCTGAAAATGGGGATATTTTATGTTGACGAAACTTCCTCATGTCGATACCTTATCACATTTAAGTTCACTTGTGCTAGGATCAAGTAGCAGAAAGCCCAGATGTTAGATGGGCAACAGCTTCCTCGGATTATTATAAAAACTACATAACAACAAAGTAACACTAGGGTACAAATATAAGAAATCCCTATATTAATCGTCACAGCCAATCTTAAAATGGTATACACGGCATATCAACTGTTCAATTAGATTTTTCTGGAATATTTAAACAAATTCAAATATAGTAAGTTTACTCAATAATAATAATAATAATAATAATTATTATTATTATTATTATTATTATTTTTATTTTCTTTGATTTCTGGCGTTTACACATTTCTTTCCGGGTCCCGCCCAGGGACCTAAGGTTAGAAATGGCGTCAAAAAAAAAGAATTAAATTACATAGATAAAACCCTTCGTAAGGTGTCGGCAGTACTTGTCGGAACAATCTTTTGTATCTCCTTGAGGCATGGACTTCCAGGAATCCCTTCAATTAGTCTACTGCAATCTTTTCCAACCAGACCAAGGGCTCCAACTACAACAGGGATTGTTGATGTTCCCATATGCCACATTTTCGAGATTTGCTATTTCAAGGTCCTTGTACTTTGACAACTTTTTGAATATCTTCAAAGATACATTGCAGTCAGCAGAGACTGCCATATCAATAAGGAGGCATCGTTTTCGTTTGTGGTCTTTAATAACAATATCTGGCCGGTTGGCCTTGATTGTTCTGTCAGTGTGTATTGTGTAGTCCCATAAAATTGTAACAGGTCCTATCTCCGTAACCGGGTCTGGGTGGTGTTCATAAGAGTTTCTTTCAGTTTCCTTCCCGTAGAAGTTGCAGATTTTCCAGTGCAGATATTGGCCCAATCTGTCATGTCGGATTTTATATTCAGTGGGTGCCAACACCGTACAAACTGATACAAGATGATCAATCGTTTCTGGATATTTATCACAGAATCTAAATTTTGGACTGACACAATATTTTATCATATGTGCTTGATAATTCCTAGTTAGCAAGCATTGGTCCTGCGCAGCAAGGATAAAACCTTCAGTTTCCGCTTTCAACCCTGCACTACGTAGCCACTGATGGGTACGGGTTTTGTCTACGTCAGCTTGTTTGGTACGGGCAGAGTATTGGCCATGAAGCGGTTTATCTTGCCATCGCTTCTGTAGTTGGTCGGTTGCATTCGTCTTTGCTGTCTTTTTTAGGTATTTTGCAGTTTCAGCCG